TCACGTCACATGATATTTCTATTTAATTTCTAAGATCATTCGAAATTTCTCTGTCGACATATTTCCCTCGGGAAACTTTAATTGGTTTATTTTATTTATCTAATTCAGTTCTGGGACATCATTTACTTGTTCATTTACTGACTGAATGGATGTGGCATGTGGATGCAATCAAACCGAATTAGTTTTCGAATTAAGAAAATGAATTTATACGTTTCCTCGCCCTCTCTGACGGATAAGACAAGAGCCACTCAACGAACTCGTGTACGAATAATATCTATGCATATGCGCTCAATGCAAAATGTTTCCAAACTTGCGTAGAGCGACGACTGCAGTCTGAGTTGAGAGCGATATGGCACATGGATGGACGAATGAGATAATAAATGCTGATTAAGGCGTTGAGAGCATTGGATGTTTCGTGTGTTCGTCGTTTAACGGCTCGAATCCGTCTTGCGAAGATACATTCAATTCGACTATCGACAGCACTGCCTCGCACAACCTACCATCATCCTCAAAGAATATGTCCTCTCAGTCATCAACCCATTATCAGTATCCTTGTTGGGCTTTCAAGAAGCAAAGACAGGGTCTCTTTCCGGCTGATCATTGTATTAAAGTTACCGGTTATCGAAGTAGGCNAGGTGATCAACCAACGCATACGATGGTCATTAGGACATGCGCACTCGACTCAGGCACTTTGACAGCTGATACGGGTGATTATTATTAGTGAATTAGTATGAAGTTTTATTTGTCTATTTTAATGAGAACTTCGTATGATAGCACTGATTCAAGAATATTCATGAAATATTACAGAGATCGTGAGGATATCGCACTGTGGTCATTTCAAATACGAAGGATATCAATATTCAGGCTGTGTGCAAGCTTGTGATACTGATGGATGCAATAGAGCTGTGTCATCGAAATATTCTTTCGTTTCTACCTTTATACCTATCATTTTATCATTGCTGCTTTTTAACTACTGCACTCATTCCGGTGAAACCCTTACAGTTCGAAGGTTGTCCCTATGTTCATCATCTTTACCGTCATTGCCATCATCTTTATTGTCTTCAAATCGGGAATATATTGCTGCGTTAAGGCCTCATCCCAACAGCATTTCATCTGACGATTAATTACTTGTGTAATAATGCACTTCATCATTCTCGCTTGTAATATATCATATATATTACTTATAAGAGTTATCATTTGCTTGCAAGCATCTTGTCTAGAGACTGACTCTTCGACTGATGCTGTGCTCTGGCATGATGTGATAAAATTGTTGTACTATACTGAATATGGTTGCCGAATGTTTGTTTGATTGTCATGTAAGCCTTGTTGATTGAGTTGCGTATTTTCGTGTTAGAGAATAATCCTCACATATTGTTATTGATTCGGTGTATTACATTCGCTATCATTGGTTATCGTTGTTGATTAATATTGTTCAGTTCTAATGGAATGATGCAAAATGAATTATTCTGTGCAGTGAGTGTTATCATTTTATGCAGATATTGAAGGGAACAGTTCTTATGAATAATATTTATCAAACATGATTGAAACGATGTACTGATACGGCTACAAAGTTATAAAATGAAGGATCCTCTGGAGAGGTGAAGTCGTTTAAGCGATTTTCGCTTGTGATTTGACGCATGCGATCTCTTCGCGATGGTTGTTCACTGGGTTGGAGGTGTACATCTTGATCTCAAGCTCATAGGCTGACTGCAATTATCGAAGATTGATTTTGAAAGAATTTTTCACATCAGTTTTCAGATAAATGATTTTTGAGTGAGAGATTCTATCAGAAGTATCATACATTTCCGGCCATCATGCTGATAATTCCCGCAAATGCACTGAGGTCGAGTGGTATTTCGAGTTTGAGTTTACCCTTCTGGAGTGGGCAGTTGTTCGCATATTTGCAGCCATTGATGTTGTTCCTGAAACACTTAGATATGAGATGNAGACCGAACGTGGGAATGGTGATCCATGAGCATGCTGAATTGTACAAACCGGCGTGATACTTTCTCACTACAACATCGACCGTCTGAGTTTTGTACTGCAACGCAAAAGAAGATGACTTTCAACGTTCACTTATTATCGAATAATTATTTCATGAGAGTGGTCAGTAGTGGAATTTTCATCTTTTGATTGAACAAGTTCAAGGAACATGAACATAATCTCGTACCTCATCTCCTAGATTCTCAGCTTCGAGCACGAGAATGATTGGCTCTTCCATATTAATCGGGTACAGTGGTTGGCGATTCTTTTTCAATGCTTGAACAGATGTGACTGAGATTTTATGGGACGCATCGCAGTTGAACGTATTAGCCGTTGTTGCAGTTCCGTTTGGGTATGTGCATGAATTTGCAAGGTTTTTGGGTTCCAATAGGATTGCGGGCTGGGCAAAGCTAACTGAGACGACTGCGAGAAAGGCCAATCCGTAGTGCAACATCACTGTTGAATCTGTTAGAACTCGACTGATGAAACCCTGAAATTGGCCATTAGAGTAATCCTTTCAAACTGATCTACTTGAATAGATCAACAGACCCTACTGTAACTTCATGTAGCACTCCTGTTATGCTTGTAACTTCTAGGATAAACTTTCAGGCTATCTTAAAGGAGAGTATGTAGGTGGTGGAAAATGAGGAGTAACGTCATTTTCTATACCTGACTAATCAGAAAAACAGAAAAAGTGTTGCAAAAGCCAGCTAGATGAATGCAAGCATTTGATCAAAACGGTGCTCCGTTTCATTCGCTCCCAGCGCACTCTTTTTATACGGTTGTTTTTTAACTATACCATATAGTTATCAGTAACTCAACGCCTCCTTCCTCCAATGTCTTATTTTAGGAATGTTTATGGATAATATTGATAAGAGCATAACGATCCTGCAAGCAGTGTACCGGAATACTGCATAGTTATACTTTTACCAATGTTATCATCTCGAAAAATAACTATATGGTTTCACATAGAACATAAAAGTCATCAGATTGCCCACATAATCATATATTTCCTTGACATGATTTCTGTGCTTTGTGCTCATTCTCAATTTCTTCAGTGCGCTCAAATAATAATATCAAATCAATCATAGCACCATTAAATTGCATCCTTTCGTTTACTCTCAATTTGTTTCATAAATATTATAATCCGATTCAATTTCAAAATGTTTCGGAAGGTTGAGCCAAAATTAATTCAAATGGCTTATATTATGGAGCAAAGAACTGATGAACGCACAATAAAACCACATGAGAAACGTTTGACTCGTCAAATGATAGGTTTTGTGATCATTCGGCAATAATTTCAGTATCTGTGATCGGTTTAAGAAATTATGCATCCCAAAGGCAAGCGTGAGCAAAGAGATCGTATGAGAATGTTATACTGTTATTGTTCAAAGGATAACATCGATCAACCCTATGAAAAGCCGTTAATCGGAAATTTGCTGTATGTGTTTATGGAACTATGAATTATCCATCGATAAAATGTACATGCTTTTGATGGAAGAGAGTCTGCTTTGAACGACGGCACGAAGACATCATGGAGTTGGTGATTGCGAGCCAGCTCGAGTATGCAGAGCATTCCAAAATGCTATTTGCATAGGAGCACATCATTCGACGACACACAAACCAAATGCATCGAGCTTGACGGAACGATGGAGTTGTTCTAATATATAAGACATCTTTTGATTTTTGAGTAAATACGTGCATGAAAGTTTGCATCAATTATCGACATTATGCACTGTTTTTTGTTTGCTGAAAATTTGATTTGTCCGATGGAATGAAGAAATCACGTGTTATTGAGCGAAGCTGAGCAAACTACTGATTCGGCAGTGGTATTTCCAGTAGTTTTTTGACATTTTTATAAACATCTGAGTGACACATTTTCCAAAAATTCAGCCACTTCTCTTTGACCACTCATTATTAGGTGACGGTGATTAGAGCAGGATAAAGCTTTGCATTAGATTCGGGCTTAGGCTTAAGATGAGACTAACACCGGGGAACGACGTGTTTGTTTGCCACATGCGTCACTCGGGTACAACAGAACCATCTACTTCTTTGATAGATATCTCGGCTCCGGTATGAGTCTCTGGCTAAGTTTGAGCACAAATGTGATGCAGCGCGATATCCCGCTCTGATTATTGCCAATTCGCTGAATTACATCGACTGAGTTCATAGTGCAGTGGATATTGTATTATATCAGCATGACATTCAAAAGTACAGTCCCATTAACCCTCAACTTTTATCATGATGCTCATTTACTGATTACCGGTTATTTTGATAGTTACAATAAGCCATCACGTTTCCGGTTATTGTGGTATTAGGATGGCCAGATGATATCTTATAAGCTGGATTTTAAGTGCAATAGGTAAAAAGATTGCTCGTGCACTCTTGCTTTCGTCTACTGCAAACAAAATCAAAACGACATTTTTGCCGTACACTATCAT